CTTCCAGGACCTTTTGAGAGGCTTGAAAGGTCCTGGAAGGTCGCTATTTCGCCAGAAGCTGGCAATTCCCCCCCCTGCGCCCGTGGGGGGGTGGGGACAGCGTGGCAAGGGTCCGAGGGAGCCTTCCAGGAGCCTTGCCACGCTGCCCCCACCCCCCCACGGGTGCAAGGGGGGAATCGGCAGCTTCCAGGACCTTTTGAGAGGCTTTCAAGCCTCTCAAAAGGTCTTGGAAGGTCGCTATTTTGCCCCCACTGGCCCCGTTGGGGGTGGAGGAGTGTCGCAAGGGTCCTGGAAGGCTCCCACGGACCCTTGCAACGCTGCCCCCCACGGGGCCAGTGGGGGCAAAGTCACCACCTTCGCTCCATAAGACGCACAGACTTTCTACCCCTCTTTTTTGGGGTGGAAAAGTGTGTCTTATGGTGCAAAAAATACGGTAATTAAGGGAAAGCTTGCTTGAAGAAAAAGATCTTAACCTGCTTGTGAAAAGAAAGCAGTGATGGAGGCAGCATGGTCTCCTGTGGGAGGGAGTTCCAGAGTCTGGGAGCAGCCACAGAGCAGGACCTCTCCCATGTCCCCATTTATCAAGAAATCACTTCAAGATGCCTAAGAAATAGGTTTCACTTTCACCTCTTCCTCTAGCAAGCAAAAACTTATCCTTTTGCTTTCTAATCTACAGGAGTAAAAGGGGCTCCAAATATTAGGAATTATTATTACGGATATTCAGAACAATCACATTCAGATTCGGATATATTTGGAACTATTCAAATACGGCATTATTTGGTGAATCCCGAATATTTCTAAATCTGAATGCACACTTCTACTGTATACACACATGTAATTGTAATTCATATAACTTTATTTTTTCCTTGTACTAAAAGAGCACTGGTTTGTTACATACCTGCAGGGTGGCAAAAACATGGAATCTTTCATAAGCACAGATCCAGAAAGAAGAATATACCAGCATCTTGCAATAGTGTCTGAACTAAAGAAAAAGAACAGACATATATTTATGAGGATGTGCACAATTTGACAAGAACAACAACTAAAGCTTTCCAAGTAGGTTTTCCCATCCACTGCAATTGTGTGTATGTATGCACCCGGGCATGCATGTGTGTATATTCTGAATTAGTAGGAGAACATAAATCAATATATACTGTTGTTATGTGATATAAAATTACTTGTAACTTAAAGTAATCCTAATACAGTTTCATGCAAGATATTCAAGGAGATGTTTTAATTGTGTCACCCGCCCACCAGTGAGATTCCAAGGCCAAGCAGGGATTTGATGTATATTAGCTGAAGCTATATTGCCTCTTCTCAGCTAATACTTAAATGAAGCCAAAGCAATGCTTGCTTAGCATTAATTGTAGTAGTATTCTAACCTTTTAATAGGCTATAACAGAACTCACAATGGGTACTACAGATGGTTTCACATAATGGATGCCTGTGAGGGGGTGCCTGGTGTCACCGCATTCAGGCCAAAATACACAACTTTCCCATGCCTGGCAGACAGCCAGGAATAGGAAAGCGCTCAGCAAAAGGTAATGTCAGCAAAAGGAACACAGCCCAACTAGGCAGATCCATACTCACAAAACATCCACAACCGACAGCCAGAGGCAGATACCCTATCCTTCTCTCCAGCAGAACAAGGGTACAGCTCTAAGGGGACATATCTGGAGCTCAGAGGGGAAGGACCAGATGAGGCAGTGTCAATCAGGAAAAAGGAATTTTGAGAAGCCAAAAGAAAGGGGATATAGGGGAGGAGCCAGGCTTGGGGAGAGGGGAGAAGGAGGAGGAGTAGAATAAAGCCTAAAGGAGGAGTAGAATAAAGCCTACTGTATGAGTGCCCCTAACACCTGGTATGCAGAGCTCAGCCGTTCAGGCCTTGGTTAACTATATCAGCTCACTCTTTACTCTTGAACCAGAATAATGCCATATTGGGAGCACCCATGGCCAAGGGGCACTACTAATTTTCAAGGAAGAAGAACCATAAGTTAGAGTATCTGACCCAACTTTGGGACTGCGAGCTCAGAGAGCAGTTCCAAATGTTGTACCAGTTGGAACAACTGTGAAAGTATGTGTTGGCAGACACTGGACACATGGCAGAAACACCACCCAGTATCTACCACCTGTAAAGGAGAGTCACCTTTGGAAGTTCCCAAGGAACCACCTGTGGGGGATACTGAGGAGCAAAAACCTGTGGACTACAGAAGGACTTCCTCCTCAGGAGGGTGATTAAAACCATTCCAGGGCATACCCATGAAGACCCTGCTAAAAAAGCTTGGGACAAACCCCTATGGACTATATACTGGATCCAACTCCTTAATAAAGTGTTGCTAGCTGTTGGTAAACTAAGCGATTTTCTTTTATGCACCACCTTATTGGCCTCTTTGATACACCCCTGCTGCCCTTGGAGGGCTTGGGGGGAGCATTTAGTACCTCATACCATTTCCCAGTCACACTCACTGACCTTTAAACTGCACCTAATGGCAACCTGCTTTTTTGGAATAGAAATATTTTGATAAATTGTGTTTGTTTGTTTGTTTTTAACTTATATGCTGCCTACTCCACCCAAAGGTCTCTGGGCGGCTTACAACAATTAAAATACAATTAAAATACAATAAAACATGGCCAACATACAATTGTAACACTGCTTGGGAAATATAAATACATTACTAGAAGCAATCATTTCAATGGCAATCTTTTAAAAACCCCTTTGCCTTGCAAAAAAGAAAATATAACATACTGTACTGTTTAAAAGACAGCACATATGTATTAGCTATGTATGCCCTATGTTACCATATTTTTCAGTGTATAAAGCACCCCCATGTATAAGACGCCCCCCCTTTACTAAGTCCAAATTAAGAAATCAATATTTTAAACATAAAACAGAATACATTTTTATTTAGTGATTAGGTAACATTTATATACCAGTACTGTTATATTATGCACCACACTTAGCTTTGAACATATCACTTTTTTAAGCCTCTGGGGTCAGAACACTCAGACATTACCAGTCCCTGTTGCATCTGAGCACTGTCTACCTGCTCCATCTACAGCGAGATGTGTTCCAATTGGTTTGTTCAGCATCAGCTGACACCAGTTACATAAGGCTCTTGACTGGAAGAAATGCAGTCTCCTGACTGTAGGAAGCTAAGCCTCATGACTGGAGGCAGCTAAGCCTCGTGACTGAAGGAAGCTTGTTTGCAGAGGCAAGGTATGGGCAGTTTTGCAATCGTGCGGTGCTCTCCTAGGCTTAGTTCCATGTATAAGACAACCCTCAATTTTTAGTCTAAAGATTTTAGACAAAAGTATTGCCTTATACATGGAAAAATATGGCACTTATCTCCAAAAAGAGGTCAAGTTAAATCTAATCAAGTGCTAATTTGTCCCTTGGATGTTTTCTCTTCAGGTCAGATAACAGTTAAGTTCACTTACCAAAATAAAACTTGATTTCCATCGTACCTTTTGTAACGTGCAGTGGAAGTCATAATTCTGAGAAAGGAAAATTCAGTTGTATCAAGAAACATGTAGAAAATGAATTTTAATTTCCCTCTGTTACCACTGCAATAATGAGCAAGATCACAAATGAGTCTTCTTTATAGCTAGTCGACAAAAGTGGAGAGTCTTCCCAGCAGACACAAATTCAAGAATAAATCCAATACTTAGGAATCTTTGGATAATTTAAAATCACATTCACAGTACCTTGCGTAGTCAAAAGACTACAACTTACCAGCATGCCACACTATTTTTCTTAAGACTATGCAACCAAAAATCCCATTGAAGCAGAGTTCATTTGACTTATAAAAATTATAATTATGCAAAATAAAATTCACTCCAGATGCTTTCCAGCACAAAGAGGTAAACATAGTGAGGTTCCCCTGGTTTTCTTGAAATTTACAGCAATCATAAAAAGGTCTATTCAAGATTAAGTCTCAATAACCTCAATGGAACTAGTTGCCCAGTGTTTATAACAAACGCAACCCTAAAGCACTCATTAACTGTTTGTTTATTGCTTACCATATTGTACCCCTTGTTTTAATACATTCTTAGATACCCAAATGTGGATAACGTAAAAAATATTAACAACATCTAGTATGCAAATTTTGCATTGCATGTGATTTGCATTTAATAAAAGAGCAACTAAAATGCACCAATCCCTAGACAGATTAGCCTTACAAACCAGGCCTCAAAGGCTCACAATGAAGAACAGATTTTGCACTAGCATTACCAAATATCACAGTTGCACAAAACCAGCCAACCTTACCTTAGCTGATGTTCCCTGAGATGAGACAATATGTCCATTCCATGAAGATAGTAGTAGATAATATTTAATTCCTGAAAATGAAATTAAGAAGTAATGTTAAACAATACTGTTTTGACTAAAGGTTTCCTAGCAGAAGCACTGTGCAGATAGCATGTTAAAAATTGCTATGAGAGAAAACCATGCTGTTGAGAAAGAACTCTTTTTTTATACAGGGAATGAAACAGTGAAGGCTAACACATACCTCCCACACAGGGGGATAAAACATATAAGGAGCAGTAAATAGTAATAGTATTATTATCAAATATAACTCTGCAACTCTAGCTAACTACAGGAAAAGGGATGCTTCCAAATAACTGAAAGGGAGGAGGAAGGGAGGCAGGCAGGCAGTTATTATTTAATTTAGAAGTTAGCTGAATACGTAGTTTTAAAGACATACTGAATGAACATCTTAGGACAGCCTATAAAACTTTAACCCATTGTCTTGTTAAGTATCTTCAGAACTCTAGAGACACAATTAATCAGACTGCCTGGAATTGCAACACTCTCCTGCTCTGCAAGGAAAGCTCACAAGTACTGGAAACATGGCATGTACCAGAGTCAGATACTACACCTCACAGACAACACAGAGTAGAAGAAAAGAGCAGTTACCTACCTGCAAACATGATTCTTCTAGTGGTCCTCTGTAAATCCACACAATTGGGTTGTTCTGTGCCTGCGCAGGACCTCTTGGACGTTTCTAGAGCTTAAAGACATGTGATTAATAGGACGTTCCCCCGTGGAGTGCATGCTCCACACGCCAGAATTCCCCTCAATTCCTGTAAGAGTCTGCCGCTGTCAAAGAACTATATTTAAAAAGACAACATGAGGGAGGATGGGCGGGATGTGTGGATTCACAGAGGACCACTAGAAAAACCATGTTTACAGGTAGGTAATCTCTCTTTCTTCTTCGTGGCCTCTGTGAATGCACACAATTGGGTGACTGACAGGCACACTTACTGGAAGGTGGGATGTCACGGTAAAACTGAGGTTAAAACAGCTCTGCCAAACGCAGCATCATTTTTTGCCCGGACATCAAGACGGTAATGTCTCATCAAGGTCAATGGAGTAGACCATGTAGCTGCACGGCAGATGTGAGGAAGATCTATTCCCCACTGGAAGGCAGTATAAGTTGACAACACTCTGGTAGAATGAGCCTTAAAGTGTTCAGGCAGTGTTTTGCCTGCTACCTCATGGGACAATGAAATGGTTTGAACAATCCATCGAGAGATAGTTTGGGATGAAGTTGGAGCACCCTTATGGGGACCATGAAAACAAAGAAAAAGTCTTGGTGATTTTCTGAATGATTTAATCCTATCAACGCAGAAGGCCAAGGAGCGTCTCACATCAAGTATGTGGAGCATGCGCTCAATGAATGTAGAAGGAGATGGAAATAAAGTAGGTAGAATTAACAGCTGATTAAGGTGGAATTCAGAGACAATTTTAGGTTAAAATGATACATCAAAATAAAGGGTGACCTTATCCAGATGGAATTGAAGGAAGGGTGGATCTGATCTGAGGGCTGCAAGTTCACTAGCACATTTGGCAGATGTTATTGCTACAAGGAAGGATGTTTTCCGAGAAAATAATTTGAGATTGGAAGTAGCCATTGGTTCGAAAGGTGGTCTAGTGAGTATGTTGAGGACAAGTTGTAAAGACCAGTGAGGAAGAGGATGTTGCCGTGGGGGGAAGGCGAATATTATGGAGTCCTTTGAGGAATTTCTTCAAACTTCGGTGGGAAAACAATCTAGCCAAATCAGAATGAGAAGGTTGATGAGCTACAATAGCTGAAATGTAAACCTTCAAGGTAGAATGAGACAGTCCAAGATGAAATAGATGAAGGATACAGGCAAGTAAGGTCTTCAGAGACATTGCTGCTGCAGGTAAGGTCTGAGAATTAGCAAAGGAGAGGAATGCCTTTTATATATTTTGGTGTAACCGTTGGCTTGAGGGTTTTCGAACTCGATCAAGTACGTCTCTTATGGTGGGAGTATCCTCCACGTGGTCAGTTTCAGAGAGTCTACGTCCGGGTGGTAAATCATCCCATTGTCCTGAGTGAGAAGGTTGGGGATCGATGGGAGATGGTACATGTCCATTGACATCGACCTCAGGTGTGTGAGCCATGGTTGTCATGGTCACCATGGAGCGAGGAGAATGGCATTCGACTGGAACTATCGAAGTCGAATGATGGTTCATTGTATGAGTGGTATCAGAGGAAATAGATAGAGTAGATTTATCATGAAGGCATCTCCGAGTGAGTTCCTGTCGGTACTGGCTCGAGAGCAGTATCTCTGACATTTGGTGTTGGTCTCGGAAGCAGAGACATTGATGGATGGAACACCCTACTTGTGGCAAAGCAGATCAAAAACACCGTCATCTAGTGACCACTTGTGTGTTCACATGGTAAAGCAGCTGAGACGGTCTGCTACAAGGTTGTCGTCTGTGGTGACATGGCCAGATACTGGGAAGATGTGGTGTAGGTAACACCATTCCCAGAGTTCAACAGTCAGGTATAGTAATGAGAAGGAGTGAGTGTATCATTGTTTGTTTATATAGTAAAGACCTGTTGTATTGTCTGTAGCAAGATGTACGGCTTGTCCTGCAATGAGGTACGAATGCATGAAAGGCCTTGATGATCGCTAAAAGTTCGAGGTGGTTGATATGTAATAATTTCTCTCTTTTTGTCCATAGGCCATGGATTTTGTGGTGTCAACAATGGGCTCCCCATCCCGAGGGGCTGGCGTCGGTGGTTAGCTATATTGTGAGCTGTAGCGGTTAGAAGGGTCTGCCCACAAGCAAGTGGGGAAGAGATGTCCACGAGGTGAGTTGACAGGCAAGCTTGGGTGCTACTGTGAGGCCTTTGGACAGATGGTCTATAATGGGATCGAATAATGATAGTTATCATGATTGAAGGGACCTCATTTTGAGTCTCGCGTGTTGGATAACAGCGGTTGTGGATGCCATGAGCCCGAGAAGGTGCTGGACTTTATGGGCTGATATCAAGGCTACAGGTTGGAATGGTTGGATTGCTCGTCTTAGTTTGGTGATTCTTTCTTGAGGGATAAAGGCTCTAGCTTGTAGAGAGTCGAAATATGCTACGATATAGGTGGCAGTCTGTGAAGGTTCGAGATGGGATTTGGCAAGGTTCACCTTGAGCCTGAGGTCTTAAAGAGTATCAAAACTGAATTGGGTAGCTCTGACAGCATTGTAATAGAAGGTAGCGACTATCAGCCAGTTGTCTATGTAGGGGAATATGGAGATACTTTGAAGATGGAGACAGGCAGCGACTGGTACGATACATTTGGTAAAAGTTCTTGGTGCCATGGAAAGTCCGAATGGGAGGGAGCAAAATTGGTATGAGATGTTGTCGAATCAGAATCAAAGAAATTTGTGATGATAGGGGTGGATGGAAATGTGCAAGTATGCATCCTGGAGGTTGATGAGGACAAACTAGTCTCCCTGTAAAAGGAGAGTGATGACAGTGTCGAGTGTCAGCATTCTGAAGTGTCTGGGTCAAATGAACATATTGAGGTGTCTAAGACTGAGAATAGTTCTTTTTGGGAACTGTAAAGTATAACTTGTGTAGAATCCATCATGCAGGGCAGAGGAAGGGACTATAAGTATGGCGTGTTTTTAGAGAAGGGAAACCTCTTCTCGGAAAGCCAGTGAGTATAGGGTAGTCTTAATGGGTCCAGGTGGTGGAGTACAATCAAATTCAATAAACTAGCTGAGGAAGGAATGTAATCTGGTTTGGGATGGAGATAGAAGGGGTCTACGGATATTGCTTACCCTTCTTTTGTTGATGTCGAAAGGGCTGACAACAGATCTGTTGCCGCTGGGGTCGAAAAGCAGCTGGTGTTGATGGTGATGGGCCGGAATAGGATCTGTCATAGGTTTGCGGTTTGTATGGTTGGTAGGGTTGCTGGTATTGTTGAAATGGCTGTTGGAAGAAGGGCTGCCTGAGAAGCTGAGGGCACTAGTAGCGATAAGGTTGTTGGGTAGAATATGAGTGTGATGTTTTACGGATTTTATGAAGGTTCGCCATTACTTCATCTGTCTTGGCATTAAAGAGGCGAGCACCATCAAATGGGAGATGATTTGGTATCATCTGAGATGCTGACAGATCTCAGCCTGGCATGTCATCTTAGGGCGACAAAAGTCGACATAGCCTTAGAAACAGCATCTGCTGTATGGCGAGATGCAATCCTTTGTTGTTTAACCAGGGTTGTAGCCTCGGTATGGATGTTTAGGGCTTCTGTCTTGGAAGCATCAGGAGCCGCATGGAGTATGGGTAGAATTTTGTTCCACAGTTGGCGATGGTACACGCCTATTGCTGCTTGGTAGTTTCCGACCCTCATAAGGCAGGATGTAAGAAAATATAGACGTCTGCCTAAGATATCAAGCTTTCTCTTTTCTCGGTTAGTAGGGGCTACAGAGGATTTATTGCGTGCTATGGAATGACTGGATTCAACAATGATAGAGTTTTGTGTAGGATGTTTAGAGAGAAACACTGTATTGGGACCGTGGGTCTTGTGATGATTTTCTACAAGACTTGGGACTTGTAGTGAGGAAAGGGGTTTGTCCCATGATTCTTTCACCGATTCAAGCATAGCAGGGACGAATGTCAAGCTGAGAGGTGATGTCTTGTCCTGATTAAGGTAGTCAAAGACCAGATCTTGTTTTTGAGGTGGTGGTTCTTCTATGTCTAATTGTAAGGATTTTGCCATTCGTATCACTAGTTGAGAGTAGGAGGTAAAATCTTCAGATTGGGAAGGTGGGTGATTCCCAGACGAAGGGGTAGGTAGATTAGGTTGGTTTTTTGGTCTTTTTAGGTTTATCTTTCTTTTTCTTAGAAGAGTCATCAGGATGGGTTGGGGCCTTCGACACGGACGTTGAGCTTGATTTCGAAATTGACTTCAAATGGTCCTTTTGCCGAGGCGAAGGATTCATCGGACTCAATATCAGGCGAGGAATTTCACGACGTTCAGGAGTTGGAAATGTCAGTGGATCCATGGGAGCCAGATTTAAAGATTTT